CGCCAACTAGGAGGTTAAACAACCCCTGCACGGTGACGCCCTTGACCACATCAACGCCAATCTCGATGTCTACAATCGCATCGAGAACAGTCGTGCCCAGCGACATCAGGCAGAACTCCAACGCCGACAGGACTACGACGACTAACATGATGACCCCGTCGGCCTCCGACCACTCCCTGCTATCGAGCCAACGGGACCTTGCCCCTTCACAGCAAGGCTACGAGCTATACAGTGGCCTGCAGGTTTCAAGATCTTCGAGGTCGATCCCTATGATGGCAAGGCTAATCCCGAGCAATAGATGCAGCTCTACGAGATCACTCTATGTGTCGCCGGGGGAAACAGCGATGTAATGGCAAATTATTTGCCTGTCATGCTCTCCCAATCTACGAACAATTGGCTTATGAGCTTAAGGAAGGATTCCATCGAATTTTGGGATGATCTCAAGAAAGTCTTTGTCGAGAATTACATGGCAACATGCCAATACCCTGGCACGAAATATGATCTAAAGAAACTCCATAGGTCTCTGGGGAACCTCTATGAAGCTACATCAGGCACTTCTCTGAAACAAGGAACACCATCCACAACATCGGGGACAGCGAGGCCATCTTCGCTTTCACCAGAGGACTCCATCACCATCAGGAGTTGCGCTCCAAACTTTACCGCAAGAGGCCCTAGACCATCGGCAAACTCCTCAAGGTGCAAACTCATACACAGATTTCGAAGAAGCTAATCGGTAGTTCAAGGACGACGTTGCTCGTGCTTCCCACTCGCATCACCACTCACGTCGTGATGATGATCACCGCGAAGAACGGCGTTATGAAGATCATGACAGGCATTACGACGATCGCGAACGCCAGCATAATGATCGGCCAGAGGGATCGAGGACTGCACAACCACATCGCTGCCGGCCGGAAAACTTCATCAACAATGTAGAGCAGCCACGCGCTCAGCGCAATTTTAATGCTGCCTATGAAAAGCTCCTTGACGGTCCATGCCCAATTCACAAGAACAGCAAGCACACCATGCGACAATGCTATGGCATAGCCAAAGCTTTCCACGATGAACAGCAGAAATAGTAGAGGCGCAAAGGACGACTAGTCCAATGATGGCAAGGAGGAGGAGCGTCCTAAGGATGCATGACTTGCTTTCCAAGATGCCAACAAGATGGTCGCCACAATCTTCGAAGGATGTGCCTCCCCGAGAGCAAACGCTAGCAGAAGCTCACCGCTCGGCAAGTCATGTCGATCACCAAGTACGACACGGTCGCTAATCCCAAATATTTGGACTGGTCGGAGTATCCTATCACATTCAGTAGGGTCGACCAGTGGGCAGATATCCCATACCCAGATATTTTCCACTCGTGTTGGATCTAATCATCTGCCACGTGTGGTTCAAGAAGGTCCTAATCGATAGTGGGAGTGCCCTCAATGTCATCTTCGTCGAGAGCCCTAACTGAGTTAGGACTCACTAAAGACGATCTCGTTCCTATTGATTCTCTATTCTGGGGTATACCTAGCAGAGCATCCCAACCTTTGGGGCAGATCACCTTGCCAATCCAGTTTTGCACCGCCAACCACTTTTGTACTGAGTACATGAACTTCTTTGTGGCAAACTTTGATACCGCCTACCACGCCATCCTTGGCCGACCAACGCTCGCCAAGTTTATGGTCGTGCCCCATTATGTCTATCTGGTGTTGAAGATTCCAATGGAGCAGGGCGTCCTCACCCTGCATGCCAACATCTCTACCGCTTATGACTGCAAAAGAGAAGGACTCGCCCTCGCCGAAGCAATGGATCTCTCAGCAAGAATGGAGGCTTGCATTGCTGGCTCCAAGAAGGCCCATGCGACGTAAAGGCTGCAACCCGACTAGAGTCATATGGGCTCTGTGGTCAAGACGACATTGATATCCATAGATCATGGCGCATTGAACACCTTAGGCATTTCTATCCTACGGACTTTTTATGCATATATGCATCTCAATAATGATTTTATCCCTGATGTTTTCCATAATTTTTCACAAGTTATTTATTTTTCCATGCTAAACATCTTTAAGATGACGCATCCTATCACCCTTCGATTTGACGACCAGCCACGTTCTCATTTGCGTTACCCAGAAGCAGCCCTGTCCTCGACCTAGCACCCAAGTATGCATTAGCAGTAGTGCTCTACGCCACAGGCGATCGGCAGCGGCTCCTCGGTGATGCATATATTCCTAAGCGTGCACAAACATCTTGGGATAGAATGCCCCCCACGTCTCGTCGGTACAGTGCTTAGCACTCTCCACGATCTCTAATTTTCACCACGGGTCTCCAACTTTTGCTCCGATCTCCAATTTTCGCCACGGTCTCCAATCTCGCCACGGTAAAGTGCTAAGCACTATCCAAATTTTTGCCACGATCTCCAATTTTCGCCACGGGTCTCAAATTTTCGCCACGATCTCCAATTTTTGCCATGGGTCTCCAATTTTCGCCACGATCTCCAATTTTCGCCACGATCTCCAATCTCGCCACGGTAAAGTGCTAAGCACTCTCCAAATTTTCGCCATGGTCACCAAATTTTCGCCACGGGTCTCCAATTTTCGCCACGATCTCCAATTTTTGCCACGAGCATCCAATTTTCATCACGATCTCCAATTTTCGCCACGGTCTCCAATTTTCACCATGGTAAAGTGCTAAGCACTCTCCAAATTTTCGCCACGATCTCCAATTTTCACCACGAGTCTCCAATTTTCGCCACGATCTCCAATTTTCGCCATGGGTCTCCAATTTTCGCCACGATCTCCAATTTTCGCCACGGTCTCCAATCTCGCCATGGTAAAGTGCTAAGCACTCCAAATTTTCACCACGATCTCCAAATTTTTGCCACAGGTCTCCAATTTTCGCTACGATCTCCAATTTTCGCCACGAGTGTCCAATTTTTACCACGATCTCCAATTTTCGCCACGGTCTCCAATTTTCGCCACGATCTCCAATTTTCGCCACGGTCTCCAATCTCGCCACGGTAAAGTGCTAAGCACTCTCCAATCTCGCCACGGTAAAGTGCTAAGCACTCTCCAAATTTTTGCCACGATCTCCAATTTTCGCCACGGGTCTCCAATTTTCGCCACGATCTCTAATTTTTGCCACGGGTCTCCAATCTCACCACGGTAAAGTGCTAAGCACTCTCTAAATTTTCGCTATGATCTCCAATTTTCGCCATGGGTCTCCAATTTTTGCCACAATCTCCAATTTTCACCACCATGGGTCTCCATTTTTTGCCACGATCTCCAATTTTCGCCATGGTCTCCAAAATTCGCCACGGTTAATTGCTAAGTACTCTCCATTTTTAAGTGCTCAGCACTCTCCAAATTTTACTCTTATGTCCAGTGCTAAGCACGGAGATTTCGTCCTTTATACAAATATGAATAAACTCCAAATAAACATAAACTACTCTGCAGAATATAAAATTCACCGATACATTGCTCCTGATAAACTTCGCTCTGTTTTCTTCATCACAGAGTTCATATATTTTATTTTTAAATCATGTACTACACATCCTACATATTTGTATTGCAGGATCATCGTCTGGGTGGTCGCACCATCTGGCCTTCGGATTTCTCCGTTGATCAATTGGTCGAACAACTAGGTTCATGACTTCATCGCCGACCAGTTGGTCGGACTGTTCGGCATTCACTTCTACTCGGCGCTCACTTCGCCAACCAACTGGTCAGATTGTCTATCGCTTCATCGTTAGTTATGCTGGGGGCTCGCTAGCTAAGCTGGGGACTTTGTCTGCCTATTCGTTTGTTGGGTTACTACGTTTTGCTGACGTTGCATGCCATGTGTGATATCAAGGTTTTCCATGCTGTCCAAATCAGGGTGCTGATCTTGGGCGGCACATCAGGGGCTTTGATAAGTATATCTATCGCAGCAATCCAGTGCTAAGCACTTTTTGTTTTCTCCACATTCTACTGCTCGATATTATCAAGTTTTACTCCAGATGTCCAGTGCTAAGTGCGGGGATTTCGTCCTTTACACTTAATTCTTTGATCCTGCTACAAGATGTTTTCTATCTTACAGCAGGCTCGAGGACTAAGTGTGTACACTTCACCTTGCAATGAATGTACTTTTTTTCTTCTTACTATTTTTTCAACTAAGCTGGGGACTAGCTATGTGCTCGGCTAAGCTGGGAATTGGTTGTTTTGACTAAGTGATCGTTGAAATTCTTTGATCCTGACACCTGGTGTCTTCTTCTGATACTGTCAGGCTCGGGGACTACAATGTATACATTGCACCTAGCGGTGCTTGTATCAAATTTAATGGTCGGCTAAGTTCTCATTTTTCTTTTTCAATCGGTGATTTCTTTGATCGTGACACCAGGGGCATTCTTCACCTACTGTCAGGCTTGGAGACTCAATGTATATATTGCACCTTGCGGCGCATATATCAGTACTAATATCATCTTTGCATAAGTCATGGATGATGATCATCTGACTTCGCCAACGAAGCCTAAGTGTGTACACTTCACCTAAGGTGGAGAATTTTTAAATTTTAAACATGAGCTCCTTACGTCCTTCTAGCAAGCCTTACATGGCTAAGTCCGAGATCAGGTCACCTGATAAATTGGTTGGCTTCAATTTCCACCGGTCGGATTACTAGTTAAATTGGTGATACTTCATTCTGTTGATTGGATTACCAGTTAAACTGGTCGGATTACCCGGCACTTCGTTTTGTTGATTGGGTTACCAGTTAAACTGGTCAGATTACCAGATTTGCTGGCTGAGTCCAAGTTAAACTGCTCGGACTTGCTAAAGATGGCATTGCTGATGGCCGATGAGCCCACCTCCCAGGTTAGTTGGCCATTAGCTGATGGCTGACCGTATGCGACGAGACCCCTACTACTCTGAGGCCTGTACTACTTTTATGGAAACATGGACTCCGACTCCAACATGAACAAACATGGAATATATAGCCACAAAGAACATGGATGTTTTGCGTAGAACTAATCAGATGTAACGACGATGAAGGCTCCGACGACCCGCCTAGCCAGACGGCCCTTCGCCGAGCTTCCGACGGACGTGCTGTTCACCGTCCTGCTGCTGCTCTCGGCCAAGGAGCTATGCCGCCTCCGCGTTGTCTGCCGTGCATGGCGCTCCGTCACCTGCGACCCACATTTCATCCGTGCGCACGCCGCTCGGCACCAACGGGACCTGGTCTTGGTGGCGAGATTCCTTTCGGGTCCTTCCGAAGAGCGGACCATGCTAATCGACCTCATCGATCAGTTAGGCAAAACGGTGAAACGAGTAGCCAGTGCCATGGACCGCAGGCAGGTGTTGTGCCCACGCCTCGGCCTCGTCTTCGTGGCCAATAAGTCCGACAACACCTGCTGCGTGCTCGATCCGGCGGTGGTCGATGCCGGACTTCCCGTCGCTCCTCACTACAGACTACCCATGCTCCCAGCGCCGTCTGCGTGAGGCAGCCACCTCGTTTGCCTTCGGCAGGGTCGCCTCGCCACCGGAGAACACAAGGTGCTGCGGATTTTCCACCGCCTCTAGGATGACGACTGTCCACATCTCTTCGAGGTGCTTACCCTCGGCGGCAGTCGTCGCCGTGCATGGTGGAGAGACATGCAGAGTCCTGACATGTTCGTCTGTCCGGACAGCAGCGTCGTCGTTGACGGGGTGGTCTACTTGTTGAGGAATGGCGTGTACAATGGCATGGCGGCACTGCCGAGCGCTGGCATTGTTGTTCCTCCAGCAGATTGCGTAGCTTCATTCGATCTTGAGAGGGAGGAATGGAGGAAACGTCTCCAGGGGCCTATAAGCATGGGCTACGATGACGATGAGGACTCGAACGACGAGCTCCACCCCTTGACCATCGCTGGTGCCAATTTGCTTTGGCTGAGCTCAAAGGCTCTCTAGTTCTCGTGCACTACCTCTACATGACTCACCTCTGGATTCTGACTGACTTTGAGAGAGGCGTATAGGTGAAAGAATATAGCATTACGGTTAACTCCATCCTACCGCCATATCTACGCCGTCTAAAACCATTGTTTGTGCTAGATGATGGGAGGTTGGTTGTGCGGCCATGAGTCATCGAAGAGTTGGCCGTATATGACCCCAGAGCCGATGCCTGGGCGTGGGTCAAGTCGGGACCTCTTCCTCTTCTGGCAGTAGGTATCTATGCAAGCAGTCTCTTGGGTTTACAAGATGCATGGTGAGCAGAGGAGCCATTGATGTTGAAATATTATTGCACATGTAAGAAAGTCCGACATCTATACGTTTGAACGCGTCAGACAATATCCTCCGTAGTTTTCCTAGTCTTCTTATGATGTTGGTTACTGTGTCGTTTACGATTTTAAGTTTGGCTAACTTAATAGTAGCATAGGCTAACTTAATAGTACAATATGGCAGGTGCATTATAGTGTTTTTGAAGTGTTTTTTTTGTGTATTTTGGAGTGCCCTCGTCAACATACCTCATGTACCCATGACATTAGAAATCAATATAAGTATTCTACTACAGCTGAATTAACGGATGAAACAGCGACGGGAGCTATAACACCACCGTAACACATGTGCGCACCAAACAAATAATTCAATTTGCAAACAAAACAAAGATGGCACACTAGTTTAGCTGAAATAATGACAACATCCATCATTGAGGAAATTAATATATCCATAGACAAGCAAACAACATTGGCCCATTTAAAATGTATGACAGAGAGATACATTAAATGCAGCTTTATTTACTGCTCTGCTAAAGAATCCAAGAACAAGGGAACACAAGGAATATAGAATGGTCTGCAAATCGAACTCTTTTTTAACGGTACATCTATCATACCGAAAGACACGGGCAGGGATAACACGAACACTTATGCGGTCCATGTCATATGCGATGATTGTTCCATCCTCCACAGCGAAGAAAATCAAATTACATTCTGGGTGAACTATAATTACTATGTCCTCATCAACAAAATCTAGGAAACCAAATCTAATATTAATCCTTCCAAACAGGATCCACGTGGTGACCATATGCTTCAATGACTAATATCAGTACCATAGTCTTCAAGGATCCAGATTGAAAGCTTAGAATCATTGGGACCACCAACAGTACATACACACAAGTGACCATAAGCTTGATGCATGGAGTATTGAAGACCATTAGGTCCATCAATTTTCCTCCATGTGTTTCCCTCCATATCCACAACAAGTATCATAGGGTACTCCCCAGAGTGCCTCATAATATGCAGACAACTGTTAAGAAACACACTTGATTGTCTGTAAAATGTCACATCAGTATGATCGCCCCATTTAGATTTCTTATGGATCTATGCTGCAGTTTGAGATGAGTAGATCTCCACACTTGCACACACAGCGTTGACATCCACATATTTAATCACATAAAAGTGCGAGGAGGCTGTCGAATCAAATGATAAGCGAGCCTCACCAACAGTATGGCCAACATCATGGGTGCTAGGCGGCAAAATTTTAAACTTCTGGGTCATTGGATTACAGATGACATTGCGGTAACCATCAGCCCCAAGGCACCAGCATAGGATGAGGTCGTTGCAGCAATCTGAGATAGCTACATTTTCAATGTTGAAGGGCAAGAATTCCAAGGAGCGGGGGTGTACACCACAGACGACGCTAGTGAAGTTTTGATTGTTGTTCTCACTGTTGTAGAAGAAAAGCTAGCCATAGTCTGGGACAACTTCTTATGGTTGTTGGGGTCCGAGATAAGGTTTTTCTAGGAGCAGCAGACACATTTACAGCAAAACAAGGAGCGGGTGGGGAGGCGGGGTAGGTCTTGAAAAGGACATCCTCCGTGAGGCTGGCCAGTGCGTTCCTCTTGTTGGGGGCCTCCTCCATTTCGTCAGTGTACAGTACGATGAGAGTTTCCTCAGTAATCAAATCACTAAAGAGAAAAATAATCCAACAAAGATCCATCAGTGAAATCCACAACTCATACCAAAGTACAACTTTAACAACCATTAATAATTTTCATGGTACAACCTCATATAAATTTAGAGTAGCACCACATAGATATACATAACTCAAACTAGAGTAGCAGTTAATGGAGCTGTAACCATTACAATTTCAGCAATTAATTGAGGTTCCTCAGTTTTCACAAGTAGAATGTCAGTGAGCAAGTGGTAGTGATCATCATTGGCATCAGTAGCAACATGTGCAGCTTAAACATTATTAGCCTCAGTGATGTGAATGATGGACACAAAGCATTGATTTGTTTTCGATGTCTTCCTCTTGTTTGGAACTAAATGGATAACTTGGTTATCAACAAGGAGAAGACACAGAAAGCAAACATATGAGCTACATCCTAATACATCCAACAGCCATGTAGACATCATTAGCTCAGAAATGTGGCCTTAGATATGTTACAAGTTCAAAATACCATAAGGACTCACTGGTGTCACTGGAGCATACGAAACAGTGCCACCTCCTAGTTCTTTTCATCAGCATTGACCTAACCAGATCTGCAACGCTACAATGTTTCTTGTATACCTTATGTTCCAGCAAGGACCAAAACAGTGAAGCGAACAAGAAAATATGAGAAAGGAGACATGTGGATCAGATCTGTCGCCTCTGCCATGGCACACGATAGACACGGACGCCAATGCCACCAAGCTGCACCGCGAAGACCCGCCGCCTAGCCTCCAAAAGGACGCCTGAGCCACCACAGCACACCGGGGATCCTCCGCCGCCGCCGCCGCAAGTCCAGTGGGCACAGATTTGTTTTCACTTGTAGGGAATATATCCAATATATAAGTCAACATGTCCACACAAAGGACATATACTACTATTAGGACTCCAAAGACAAGTCAACACAACCAGACATCTAGCGTAATGGTGAAGACGGTCTATTCCCTGATCTGGGTTCGACTTCGAGCTCTCATGGGTTTTTTTTAGTTTGAATTTACATTAAGATTTTTGTCATAGAAGTGGATATTTATAATAGTGCTTGACTGCTATTTTATTTTACCATGAAATTCTCCTATGTGTGTCATTATCCATAATTTTTATCGTATATCACTTACCACCATTTTAGCCTAGTCGGTATACTAGTTAGTAGATACATGATGGTTAATTATCATCTTCTTTAACCATTGCTTCCCTATGGATAAATACGATATCCTAGAATACTCTTGGGTAAAATGCTACAACGATATTCTGTGCGTTTGCGAAATATTCTGCTCGAGCATAAGAAATACCAACAGCCCCCATCAAGTTAAAAATCTTACAACGTCATCGCTCTCGTCATATCTTGGATTACACTGATCAAATTCTTGTTCAATGGTCGTCTTGGCCTGAGGATGAGAAGGCTCTGAAGCTCATGTTCCCAGCGGCACCGGCTTGGGGGCAAGCCGGTTCTCTAGGAGCGAGGAATGTCACGACTCCACTGCCAAGCTGCTCTGAAGCTGACAATCCGGAGAAGAACATGAAGAGAGCCCAAGGTGAGAACAAGGACGCTAGAAGCAGGAGCCCAGAAGCAAGGCCCAGGAGGGAAGCAAAGCCCAACCGGCGCTATCACGGCCCAGAGTGGGTGGCCCAGAAGGAGAGAACCGTGGCGAATCTGAGCGCTGCCAACGTTAACTAGCGTGGAGAGAGGAAGAGGAAGGTAGAACGGAATGGACCTAGCTAGAACGGCCGGCTGTGCCGGAGGCGGCGGCGACGAGCGACTCGCTCGGTGTAATAGCTAGAATTCTACCCAAAATCCACTCTGTTTATTAACGGCGAGGTTTAAAATGCAAGGAAAGGCTGCATTGTGCCGGCGACAAACAAGCTTAGGCTCGTGCCACACGAGAACCTGCCGAAACCGGAGGTCTTCAACGACGGTGCTCTAGATCCTGAACGGGTTCTTGCTCGCGTGCCTGCGCATAGACGCGGGCGCGCTCCTGCCGATGCACAGCATGGTGTACCACGCGTTCCGTGCCCTCAGCGTCCGCGTCACCATCAACGAGATCCCTCCACCGCCGGCCAGCCGCGAGACGGGCTAGACCGGCGTGCTGTTCATCTGCTCCGACCGCACTCTCTGACCCCATCTTCCTCTCGGTATTATCATGCGACTTCGATGCCGCATGTGATGCAAGTCAGATCAAAGAACCCACTGATCAATCAACACTCACCGATATATACTACTCCTATATATGATATTGATTTCTCAATAGGTCTCATGGTTGTCAGAAATTCTGTCACCTATCCGCACAGTGCGCTGCCGTTTTTTTTTTTCTGCCTACACAGTTCTGAATTCTGTCCCGCCACACGCGCTCGAGTCGTCTGCTCTGGTGAGTTGTTTCCAAGTTCCGAATTTGTTTTTTATCGTTGTGCTCAGATGTTCAGATTTTCGGTTTGCTTTCGTTTTGTTTCAGATGTACGTTTCAGAATTTTTTTTTGGCTCAGATTTTTTATTTGCTTTTTTTAAGACCTGTAAACGATGAATTAAACAATTGGACCGTTTAACCGTTAAAAACTGTCTAATAAACAGTCTAAACAAAATCGACTTAAATGTGATTAAGTAAGATGAATGACCATTTAATTCATAATTTAGTCAATAAGAGGATTACAACTATCGCAATTAACACCGAACTAATTACCATCATAATTATATTAAGTGTTGTGTGATTTAGATTTCTTACAATACTTATATTCTTTTACATTTGTAAATATGTACACTTTTTAGCATATTTGTCTTTTACATATATAAATAAATGGCTCTCCTTTCATAACTATCAGTTTTGACACGTTGGCAAGTAATTCCTTGACGAATTTTTATAAGAGATTAGAATTATATATATATATATATATATATATATATATATATATATATATATATATATATATATATATATATATATATATATATATATATATATATTATATGGGTCCTCAAAAGAAGTCACATAGGT